TATATATATATATAACAAGAGGGTCCACTCCGCAGTATCAGAGCCGTGCACTTTTTGACGATATCGATACAATTATATTGTCGATTCTATGAAATGGTTACAGTATCTCATCCTTAACAAAATTGCTGTGTACTGTTGTTGTTTTGGTTTTTTTAATTCAATGTCACGGAAACTGCTTTCCAGTTGAGTCAATTGACAAAGTGAATGGGGTGTGTTCGTTTCGTATCATATAAAAATACAGCTAGTTTTCAAGTCTGCTTCATTTTTATCTCTTGTATTAAAATCATTTAAGGATTTTTTTTCCTTTCAGTGAGCCCTAGGAGTACTGGGAATGTGCCAAAAATGACAATATTCAGACGAATAGTATTGACGACAGAAGTAATGTGTATCAGCGGTATCATTGATTTTTTAAAATGCTGGGCCCAAGCTCAGTTACACGCAAAGGGTATTGGTTTTGGTAATTGGCAATCTAATTGTATCGATATCGTCAAAACGTGAGTGGCTCTGGTAGTGCACGGCTTTGATAGTTTGTTTGTTGTTGTTGTGGGTTTTTTTCCCCGAAAATGCGCGGCTTTGACGTTCTCCCGTTCAGTATGGTCCGAGGCGAGCCTCGGTATAAAAATGGTGAAATGGTAGGCTTTAGGTTTGACACCCCGTATCAACACTATTAGGTTATTTATTAGAAGCGGGACCTCCAAGTTTAACGTCCATCTCCGAAAGGACCGAGCCAAATGGGAAATTCGTGTAAAGTGCCTTTCCCAAGGACACAACGTCGGACCAAATTGAGGCTCGAACCTGCCTCGGTATGGCCTGATCTCCTTGTGATTTGTTCATTCTTCCATGCAGGTTCCACGTATTAGATTGGTTTTACGTTTATTTTTTCTCTTTTATTGTAATGTCCCCATCGACAAGATTTAGATCATTTGAGAGGCGGGCTTCGAGTCTACCCTGCCTTCGAGGGCTTGACCAGACTGAGAGGGATAATACGACGTCCCAGCACAAATCAGAAATACAAGTTAACATACAGACTTCCACAAATGTTAAGAACCACCTTGACAGACAGCCTTGATTTTTTTTTATCCGAAAAAAAGACGGCAAGGAATGTTTCAAAATATTTTGCTCTGAAAGTGTTAATGGGGTACCAATGCGTACTGCAAAGCTTCCTAAAGGGGCAAAACCACCACGTGCTGCACGGAAATCCTCGGGGAATTTTAGCCGCACTTGTTGTTTTTTATCGGCTTGTGTGCGGCCCAGGGACATTCCTCAGTTAAAATTTTTAGTGCACGTCATAAACGGACGTACGGTCTCGAACTGTGCTCACTTTGGTGGCAATAT